CATCACAAGGTGTTTTTAGTTTGAGAGAAGAAGTCAGCCTAAATATACAGGGTTCGTGTGTGAAATGTGTGTAGGAAATAAAATGCCACTCCAGGTATGTTTGTGATGAGGAAGCATTATAAGAGATGCCTGCCCCCTCCATGTTTACTTTGACTGTAAAAGTGCCTCACACCTCGAATTGCCCCCTTTAAATTCCACTGCTGCTTTGAGTCAGACACTTGGGGGGAATGTTTGACTCTGTTCGTGGCCGTCATTTGCAGAGAGCACTTGGAGCCAATCGATACAGTTTCTCTTATGATAAGAGGCTCTTCCAGGGAGAGCAGAGATGGGCAGCCACGATGGCGCTGAGCCTTGGGGGGGACATATTCATATCACGGGCCCATGTTTAACTCACTGTCCCCCTCCACTGCAGCCAGACAAGGAAATGAGCTGAGACCTCCCCATGCCACACCACCGAGCGCCCTAGTTAGAGCCCTTTAATATTAATGAAAAGATGAATAGATGAATAGAAAGGTGTCGCAACAAAAAGTTTAAAATACATATGAAAGATTTTGATGATTCTTTAATTTGTACTTAACTTGGTGCTGTAATTCCTGTTGTAAATATAAATTATAGTTTTACACCAACTGAGAAGCAGTTTGTGAAGAAAAGTTGAAAAATATGGATGGCAATATGGATGGCAATTTATTATTTTTTTTCCATGGGGCCACAAGAGAAACATATATTATGGAGGGCTGGGCCAAAATGCTTAACTCAGTTCTGCAGAATATGGACTGTATTTCTGTATAAAAAGCAGTAAACAGCATTGTTTTGACAATGTGGTAAGACTGGTAAGAATATATGTTATGACTAAGAAAGGAAAATGTGAGGTTGCCTTAAGGGTGAAGTATAGTTCTGCGTCAACTCAACTCATACTGCTGCTGTCGCCTTCTTGCTGTCGTTTTTGATTTATGGATTTTGAGGTCTATGCGCCACAAAGTAATTCTCCGCCACAACGCTAGGAGGCTACAATTTAAACCCGGTGTCCGTATATACCAGGGGTGAGCAACCTTAAACACTCTTATTTGGAGCATTTCCCACAGAAAAGAAAACACCCGGTGCTACAAAACCCTTTTGACATTTAAAATGAAGATAACACTGCATACAGTATTTTTTTTTTTTTTTTACCTCTATGCTATGGATAAAAGACTATAGTGTGCTGTATTATTAAATCATTGAAATGCTACAAAGACTATATGTCCATTTATATTTACTCTCTACATGTATGACCTGCAGACTCATAATCTCTGAAAAGTTAAGTTTAACATGAACCATCTACAATGCGATATACACACAGAATAGACTCACCATCAGCAGCACATCCTCTGTCACAGAAAGAACACTCATATTTCACTGAGCCGTGTCCTTTAATCCAACAGAAGCTGACCGCATCAAGGCACAAGGATTGAGGTGTTTTGGGTTTTTTTGGGGTTTTTTTTCAGCGCTTATAGTTTATGCAAATTAGTGGTTTTAAGTTTTGTTTATGTAAAACGTAAACAAATGTGTGCAAAGCTGCATTAAACACATTATGACTCAATGTATATTGAAACAGCAGTATGTCTGTAGAGTAGTATGTAGAGAGAACCAATCACTTATTGACTACGTCATTTCAACGCGTAGTTAGAACATTCCGGAGGTGCACGTTGGTCGATGCAGATGGTCTGTGTAGAGGGGTCACGTTAACGCAGACTATTATAAAATATGTTGATTTTGTAATTACAAATTTGCTTAAACGGGTCAGGCGGAGTCAGCCAGAGGGCCGTATGTGGCCTGGGAGCTGGACAATGATGGCATTACACTATAGAGAATGCTATCTGAAAGGTACACTCAATTTATTGTTACAAAACACATTTTTCTGATACTTTAAACATAATTTCAACAGAAAAGTGTTTTCTTATATTGATATTTGTCAAATAATAATCTGTGTGTGTGCATTAGAGGTGTTTTGGCCTACTCTACATCTAACTCTTATGAAATTCCCTAGTATGATACCATGATTTCTAGCTATTTTAAACCTAAAAAATGGCCAGACTGGGAAAGAGAGTGTAAAATGTTTTGTAAAATCTTAACTATAATGACGTTAAATGTGTTTTAGTAAAATGTGTAGTCCAATCTGTCGTAGGCACTTCGAGCAGCTGATGCAGTGTTCTTAACTCACTGGGAGCTTAGTGGGCCATGGCCAATCCTGGAAGGGGCCCAGACACATAATAAGAGAGTGAGGAGTGGGAGCAGTCGCCATGAAGAGTCTGCCCCTGCCCTCCCCACTGCTCCATTTGGCGCTCGCTGTGATTTTGGTCATTTGCCGGTAAAATGGCACACAGACCCAGTGCACAGATAGGCGTTCTATTTGTGTTAGAACGCGATATGCTCATTCATGTGTGATTGATCCGTTCTTTTCTCCCTTCGCGACATGCACAGCAATAACTCTCCACACATGAAATGAATGTGGTGGCGCCCTGTGGTGTAGCTCTCCAAGCTTTTGAAAGTCTTACCTGCTGCAGCCCACATCTGAAAAGAAATGCTAAACAACACAGGCCCCTCCACGGCGCTAAAGCGTATAATTAGTGACCACCATTTCTGGACTCCTACTGGTTTTGTTAGACTTGTTGTTGTTGCCTCTTGTGGCTTCATACAAACACAGCCACTCAAAGAACGCTATAACAAGTCATTTTTGCACGGAGAATTTCCACTTTGTATTTAACCCAATATTTTTCCTCCCTAATCACTTCAAAGCAAAGTAAACAATTTTAATTTTAAACATTTTTTTCTTTTTTCCAGAAGTAATGAAATTATTTCCTCAGTTTCCACAGACAGTTTCTCAGTGCTCAGAAATTCAGGCTGGTTTAATGTAATCTCCGTGACAGCAGCTCCTTGTAAAGATAAAGTGAGGCATAGGTGCAGAAAGGTCATCGTGTCTGTCAGAGCAGGGCAAGTTTCTATAGCACATTTCTAATATATTTCTGCGGAAGGTTAGCTTGTATTGGCTACAGAAAGTTGGCCTGCATAAATCTCACGATGATTTGCTTCCAAGTAATGATTGCTGGTAACTTCTTTTGAGTTTTTTCAAACATTTATTGCTACATATAAATAGGAAATTCACATCAAAGTGTCCTGAGACCGGGCTGTCACACAGTTGTACATAATTACCTTTATTTTTTTCAAGACAAAATAAAACAAATGTTAAGGTTTTGGTAAAGTCAGTAACTTATTTTCAAAGATTGGCATTTGAGCTATTAACAGTTTCATTGTGTAAGTAGGCCTGATTGTTGGTATCCACTCATCAATAATAGGTGGCTCAGTTTTTAGCCGATACTTTCAGTCGTAATAACTTTTCTCACAGTCATCAGGAGAAGATGCAGCAGAAAATGCTGATCATGACTGAAACCATGATAACTTGTTTTAATATGTACATTAGGTTAGCCTCTCCACAATAATACTATAATATTGTGTCCATTTCCTTTGTGGATCAATAAAGTCTGTCTAGGTCTAAGTGTAATGCGGTTTAACTAATGTACATTTGGGTCTGTGCTATTTGGTTTCAGATATTAGAATGTAATGTTGATAGATGGGGGCATAGTATATCATCAATAAGAATCCAAGTGCAATGTATGTTTTACCAGCTTCAATATGCACATTTTATTGTATTTATTTATATTTTTTTTATTAAGATGAAGGTAAATCCTAATTACCAAACCATTAAAATTATTAGGGGTTGATCTTATCTTTTATCCAAAGGTTTTAGGTAGATAGGTCTGTTGCCATAGCAGTTAACAATTTTAAACTAAATATTCTTTAGAGTGGTGAAAGTGGTTCTGAAGGTGTCGTATGTAACAGCAAGTTGGAACCAGTGGTGTAGTGGGGATTTTTTAAGTGGGGGAGAGTGATTTGTGACGCCCCCGCCCAAAATGATACGGAATCATGTTATTAACATTAACGCCACTCATAATCACCTACAGAACATAAGTCATAGGTTACAACACGTGTCCAGGACCGAACCAGAAACCAGGTCTAAACCAAGAGTAAACCAGGTCTAAACCAGGACTAAAGCAGGACTGAACCAGGACTAAACCAGGACTAATCTTGGACTTGAAAGAGAGAGAACCCCAAGCCCGTAGAGCAGGGTGTCTGCAGAGCACAATGAGGGGACAGCTACGCTTAACCTCGTGAGCGTGGAACTCTGCGCAGGTCCTTTTGCCCGCGGTCACCCAACGCACCTCTGGGCCTGTCTCGAAACTCAGTCCTGGTTCACTTCATATTTAGTCCAGATTTAGTCCAGGTTTAGTCCTGGTTTAGTCCTGTTTTAGTTCTGGTTTCAGTCCTGGTCCCATCATGTCTCAGGTCACTATAGGACAGTAGTGCAGATATCATGAGCCTATGCAGGTTGTTTTCACCTTTGCCAATAGCTCTGGGTTGACATTTAAGTTGTAGCTATTTTATATCTTACATCGGGAGAAGTGGGTGGATAGCGTACGCCCGCGTACTACACCCACTATGCCCATGGTTGGAACTGATTAATAGACTTATTGAACTAATATTGAAGCTATTTTCTGATCTATGTTATTATATTGTTTCCTCATCAATAACATACCTGCATTTGTGTTTTGTTTCATTCACACATGTTGAAGTAATCCTTCATTATTAGTTTCCAGAGCTGAAAATTCTCTTCCACCTTGTGATGTCATGTAGTTTTAGTTTTCAAGATAACCACTACCACCTGCCTTTAGTTCAGTAGAGATGGGCAATTCCAGCCTCAGCCTAAATAATCAATTTTTTAAACATTTTTGAATAAAACAAAACACAACTCCAGGTATGTTTTTGATGGAGGTGACAACATTATATCATGATTTAAAGCTCATAAGAACTAATTTTGTGTAATATAGGACTTTCGAGAACTGTGTGATATCATCTGGCATTGTTAAAATAAACTCACCCTGACTGTTTGTCCTTTGTGTCTCTCACAGTGTCCGGACTCGGCCTGTAAGCAGGACCTGCTGGCCTACCTGCAGAGGATCGCCCTGTACTGTCACCAGCTCAACATCTGCAGCAAAGTGAAAGCCGAGGTGCAGAATCTGGGCGGAGAGCTCATTGTGTCCGGGGTGAGTCCACACTGCACATATACTCGTCATGGCACACTGTACTCTGTGGGTGGTAGACCTATGGCTGACCTGAGATCATAATCAACCCCATACAGCTCGCTAAAGGGCAGAGCACATTAAGGTCTCCATGGTGGCTCCAGACTGATAAGCAGCTAATAAGACCAGATAGATTTACAGTGGGTCCTTTTACTCCAGGATAAAGTTTTCATGCCTGAAGTAACACAGCTCACAGGTCACCATTCTGCAGTTGGCATTTACACTTAACCTTCAGTTCGGTTTATAATCCTTCCCCAGCCAGAGCCTATTGATACTTTGCAGTGATATCATGCCAGAGGGTGTTGTACATGTATCTATACGCTGGAACGTTCAAAAATTACAATGGAGCCACGAAACACACTTAAGGTTGTCTCAGAACTCAACAAATACAACAAAATGGATTTAAACATCACATTTTCAGGAGTCTATGATCAACACAACCGTTCATCGTCCTGTTTAGGTGTTTGATTTTCAACAAAAATCAGTTCTATATCAGTTCTTTATGGTGGGATTGTGTTAAAATGAAGCTCAGAGTTAAGTCTTAACAGCACTTCAGACAGAGCAGTGCCCACAGTTAGCGTCACACCCCCAGGGAATGTTGATGACCTCAGCTGTAGTATCAATTGTATCGATGGTACCTACTTTAGTGATGACAGACAGCGTTCCAGCTTTGGTCTGACAGAAGCAGAACACAGCACATAGCTCCCTCACTTCACAAATCCAATATCTGCCACAAGTGAGTTTTATATCTGTCAGCGACAATTACTTAAGACAGTGCTCTGCTATGATGCGTTCAGGGTGCCTGGGAAATAAAACTTGACCACTAAAACTATGAAGTTCTAAATGCAATAAAATACTGCTAACACACATGGTTATCACATTTGCAGATAAGTAAAAGCAAAAGCAGAAGTATAGTTATTTAGCCAGTTATTTATTCGAATAGTCAGAGAATGTTGTTTACAAGGTAGTGCATTAGTGGTTGTATCTGTCGTTGTGTCTTTAGGCAAGACACTTCTCCCTCCTTGCCTCCTGCTATGAAAGTATTGTGTGCACTATGGCTGGGTATCATTAAGAAGTTGCCAATACGATACATACCTCGATACACAGGTCAAATGCACTTTCGGTTCGATATGATATATTTCAAATTGATTCGATATGGTTCAATAAAAAATAATGGCTAAATCATGGCTGTGATATGAAAAGTCTTTGTTAAACCACTTCTTGTGCAAAGTTAAAATGAAACACACCCATTTTAATCATTAAAACAGTGAAAATATCAAAAGTGTTGCATAAATGAGTTTCCTTCCACTAAACAAACAAACAAACAAACAAAACTGTAGCTCTGTAACAAAATAATTGAGTAAAATATACCAAAAAATAACTCTTGTTGATATATCCAATCCAATCCACTTTATTTATATAGCACATTTCACAAACAAACTGTTTCCAAAGTGCTGCACAAATACATAAAAAATAACAACAATAAGATGATAAAATAAACTACTAAAATAATACTAGTCTTAAAGTAATAAAACCAGTAAAATAAAATAAAACCAGTAAAATAAAATAAAACCAGTAAAATAAAAATAAAACTATATCATAGAATAGAAATAAATAAACCAAAAAAATAAATTAAATCAGTAAAACCAATAAAAACACATAAAAATAAATAAAAGACACATCGATACAGCAGCCCACGATATCGATACTGTATCAGTATATCAGACAATACGATTTATCAATATTTTTATATTTTTGCACATCCTTATTGTGCACATGTATTAGCCATGGTCAGAGGGGACAATGGCGCAGATTGGCAGTCAGTTTGTCCCAGGGCAGCTGTGGCTTTACAAGTAGCTTGACACCACTTATTTTTTCCTATGTAGTTACCAAAACCTTTTTTTGCACGTATAAGCAGCTCTGTCTCTAATTATAAAGCACGTTATCGTTCAAATAACAGGAAGTGCATTGTTGGCTTGCTAATGTTTGTGTGTGCAAGTGGCAAAACTTCACTCTGGACTGTTTGTTGTAAATAATTCGGATGTTTAGAATCCATTAAGAAACTGCAAAATGTTTAAAATGAACTAGTCTTGTTTTTTTTTTTTTTTGTTTTTTTTTATGTTTGACTGAAGAAAACCCGTGAAATCAGGAAAAGCCGCTGGACCACGTAGTTTAGAGTCAAAATATGCCCTTATGTAATCACTACAGACTCAAAGATATGACTGTTTTTATTCTTCTAACAATTAGCTTTTTTTTTTTTTTTTTCCTCTTTACTCAACCATGATCATTTTAATTACAACATTAATGAGTTTTCTGACACCTACACCCCTTGCATTTCATAAACATAAGTCATATCCATGTGTGCTTCGCTATAATGAAACAATCTCATACCTGGAAATCAAATGTATGATTAAACAAAGAGGTTACGACCGCAGAGTGTGATTCTCTCTGCATACGGTATGAGCTGCAAAGGTAAAAATAGTTTGCACGCTCAATTAAAATGCTGTCTGGTGAACGCTAATTACATCCTTTTTTATGTAAGACAAGCTTGTGTTGGCAGGGGAAGAATGAAGGCAGAATTGGTAGCAGGCGACGCGCTGCAGTCTCTCTTGTCTTCAATACCAGTATAGATGAGGTGCCATTATGTTGTCATGGTAATGCTGCTCCCTGAGGCCAAAACACGGTTCCAACAAAAACCCTGCCAAACTGAAAATCCTGAGATATCTTGAAATCACATCTGTGTTTACGTATGTTGTGTAACTTTTCTGGTGGAGGGTCCGTCGAATGCTTTGCACGTGTCATTGCTTTCTATCTTCATGGAGTCCAAACCAAGCCAAGTTGCATATCAAGTCTATGGAAAGGCGACTCTGCTCACTGTGAGAATGTCTGTTTTTCTAGGTATTTCCGAGCTATGATACACATGTAATTAAATAAATGTAAGGTAGAATTGTTTAATGTCACACTGTGGAACATTCTAGGCAGAAACAAGCAAACGAACCAAAAAGTTACACAGTGCACCTTTAAATTATGTAAGTATTGCATCAGTAAAGTTAAGGTATGTTGCCGGTTAAATATAGTTTTGAAGAAATTTGCCATGTTACATTATACTATTAAATTGTCAGGGTGAGATTAATTTAGCAGTTCAGTGTTTCCCACAGAAAACTGGTTAGGCGAGGTGGAGATTCCAAGCATGGAGAAGAAGTAGGCAGTAGCTCAGTTGGTAGAGCATTCGCCCACTGATCTGAAGGTTGGTGGTTCAGCTCTCGACATAAACATCACAGGTTGAGCAGTCAGATCCACAGACTCACAGGTTGGCTGGTGTGATTCCAGCTCCCACAGATGAATGCTGTCGTTGTGTCCTTGGGTAAGACACTTAACCTGTGTGTCTGCGTACACTGGTTTGTGAATGTGTGTGTGAATGGGTGAGTGGTTCCTTGTTGTAAGGCGCTTTGAGTGCCTCGAAGGTGGAAAAGCGCTATAGAAAAATGTGACCATTTACCAAGAAGTGAGGAGCAGGGGTGCGCGAAGATTCTGTGCGTCGACCGTAGTTTTGCAAGGATTCACGTGGTTCGGAGGGACGTAGTCAAGGCGGGGGCTACTTGATGCTCAACTTGGGCAGCCGCCTCAACTATAAAGTGCTGCGGGAAACACTGCAATTCCAGATGATATCACAAAATTATTAGGTCATATATTACACAGAAAGATTTCTTGTGAGCTTTAATGGTTGCACTGGGTAACTTTCCATGAGAGGGTTCGCAACCTGTTGGTCTACACCAGGCATGTCCAAATTATGGCCTGGGAGCCAAATGCGGCCCTCAGACCATTTTTTCTTGGCCCTCAGACTTCCAGGTAAATTGGCCCAAATTACCTTGCATCAATTCAAAAATATTTTTTACTGCAAGTTTTTTTGAAAATCTACCTTGATAAAGCTCATACTTAATATGTAGTGTGTGGTTTTAAGGATCTTAGCATAAATAAACACTGATGGCTCTTTCTAACATGTTAAACATGCACACATTTCAGTTATTCCCTGTAGTGAGCGTCAGTGTGTGGCCCTCTGCTTCTTCTGTGTTTAGATATGTGGCCCTTAATGAAAAAAGTTTGGACACCCCGGTCTACACAAACAGGTTGCAGACATTGGTTTAAATTGTCCACAATATGGAGTTAAACTAAACTATCTTATATTTCTTCAACTACAGGTGTTATTTATTACACCAGAATGACTTTAAAAACATTAATTCTCACAATGACTTTGGTTGCCTCTCCACAAATCTAACCAGTAATTTGGCCTGAAAGTCTGCAAGGAGATTCTTAACTTTATGGCTACACTGTGGAACATTCTAGGCACATCTCCACAAAGACAAGCAGGTCACAAGACAAGTTACACAATGCACCTTTAAACGATGTCCTAATGCTGTTACCTCATCAAAAATGTGCCTGGACTTTTTTTTTTTTTTTTTTTTTTTGTCATTCACATTATTAATAGTCTGTTTACATCTCCAAAGTTGGAAATGCTCTGTTCCAGTTCGTGATGAAGCAGGAGTTTTCTAATTAACAGCTCCTTTCACTTTTAGTTCAGTAGAAATGGTAAATTCTAGGGCTGAAATCATCCAAATGATTCGAGTGAAAGCACAGTGGAGCACTTCCGGTATTACCACATGACATCGCAGGATTGCATCAGTAAAGCTGTCGTGTCACTGGTTAAATTTTGTGTTTTGACGAGAATAGTGATATTACACGTCTGTGGACAAAAGAAAATCTGAAATACCTTTTCTGCAAAGCTCTGTCGTCTGTTCTATTTTTTACCTCATCTGTCTTGAAATCCAATTTTGGTAGCCACTGAATTAGATTTAGTTTTTCTGATATGAAAATAAAGAAAAGGCATATTTTTTATTTTAGTTTGTTCTTTTGTGTAAATTTTCAAACTGACGTCAAGCTTTACCACTTAGAAACAATGCCAAGGCTTTCTGAATTTGAAAATGATCTTGTATTAGTCATAAAATTAAAAGGCTAAAGCTATTTTCTGATCTGTGTTATAATGTTTCCTCATCAAAAACACACCTGGAGTAGTGTTTTGTTTCATTCACACGTCTAACACGCAAACCCCGCACTACAAAACCACACTTTTTTTTGTGATGTCATGTGATAATGCAGGAAGTGTTTTTAAACTTTAGCTGTAAATATGGCCGCCGCACCTTTTGACATGAATCAGTGAATGCATAATGATTAGGATTTAAAGAGCATTTCCCTTGAGAAACTTACCCTAATTATATCACCACATTTCCTCCTGACCACACACACACTCTATAATGATCCGGTGAGATAGCTTTATCATCACAGCATCACACGCCTTTATCTACCCTTGATTCGTTCTGTCTTTCCGGTGATGGTCCGTCTCAAGTGAGGTACGGAGGGCCTGCTGCGATGTAATCCTTTTCATGGCGGGCAGCTGGAAACCGGCCTCATTAAGCCTAAGCAGTTTGACTCTCCTTGGTTTGCGGGAGTCGGAAGCCCACTGACCGCTGACCCTTAAATGTCAGGCAAACAAACCAGACAGAGGAGCACCTGAACCCTGCCTCTGCCTCCGCTAACGAAGCTACATGACCCTGTACAGTAAGACGTCACGGGCAGATAAGTGCAGTGTGGTCAGGTTTAATTAAGATTTTCACCACTAACTAGGGTCTGGAGAACCTTTGTGACGTCATCCGATAAACTACAACCTGCTTCTTTCCATGGAGATGTTGCCTGGAATGTTCCACACTATGGCATCTCACTTATTAATCGCTACAGAGACGCATGTGACGCCACAGGGACAAATTATATGATCTGTGGAGAGGCGAGCCCACTCACAGTAAAGCAACATTTATATGATGAAGAGATGCAAAAGCGGCGTCGCGTCTTCACTTTTTATTCCGTGTTTAGACGAGAGTTACAGGAGGAAATCTGCGTGCATACGGTGACGCAAAAGTGTGTGGAATTCGATTGGGTATGCATGCCATCCAACATGTTTGTTTCTGTGACGTAAACGCGTACGTGACGTGAGCAAATCTGAACAGACTTTTGTGTCTTGGGCAATGTAGAGAGAGACTCTATGGTTTTCCACTCTGGAGGGTGATTTCAGATTTTTGCATTCTTAAGCCCCAAAAATACCATCACCATCTTAACGAAAGGCACTTCTGATCAAATATTTTGTCGTTTTTACCCACAAGCGTTCTCGAGTGTGCAGTTACAATTCAACTAAGAATGCAAGTATTTAGGTCAATAAAAACCCATGTTATTGAGTAAATGCAAGATATGTTTAATATGTTTAATACTGTACTGAGACATTCCAGACAAAGCAATAAAATATCCATGAAGACAAGCAGGTGACGGACCTTCCACCAGAAAAGTTACACAATGCAGCTTTATATATGAACCTGATTTCAAACCTTAGGAACATCTTTTAGCCCCGCCCACTTTCTCCATGACACAGAAACAACTGTCTGGAATAGTTTATTTGTTCCTTGGGTTCAATTGGCTTCATTCACGCTTACGTCACAAACCAGGAAGATGTTTGGAAACATGCAATGACAGCTTCCAGTGTAGCAAAATGAAGACTGTGTACGTTTATGTGCTGTTTGGAATCATCTTGAATTTGGCCCCCCATCTCTTCTAATTTACCATGTACCCAGTGCGCTCGGAGTTGTGTGTCAGTGGGGAAATGGTGAAAACTGAGGTATGGTTGTAATTGTTCATAGGCTGAACATAACAGAACCCTACAATGACATGTACATGAAGAAAACTGGGCCATTTTAAAATTTTTCTTAGATTTTGTCAGACTTACCACTGCCAACAGAGCCCAAAGGAAGCTGTCATCGCATCTTTCCAAACATCTTCCTGGTTTGTGACCTAAGTGTGAATAGAGCCTGTACTTAAAAATACAATCAAATATACAATCATAAAACAACAGGGCAAAATTGGACAAGAAGATCAAATTAAAACAGCAAAAGAGAACTTGAAAAGACTTTGCTACCAAGACAAAGTCATGCTCAACTCTTTAAGACAAATTTTCTGATCTGATTTAGTTTCCTCGTATAATAGTAGTAGTTCTCAAATATTTGCCTACAACTGTATGTGCTGTTTTACCAATAACAACAAATTGAAAAGTTTATTAAAATGATTGTATGTTTCCAATGAAAAATGCATCCACTGAAATGTGTTGTATATATTTTATCTGTATGTAACTTATGTGTCTTGTCTTATCTGTTTTTATGCATGTAGTTTAGATGTATTAATTTTATTTATTTATTTTTTTAATGGAGGTTGTTGAAAACTAACACTCAAGGCAATGCATCTGGCTTGTCTAACGCGATTGTGGTGTCCTTAATCAACATAAATTTAAAATAATCCCTTGAAAATGCACCATGACAGAGAATCAAGTGTCTGGAATAGTGTCAGGTAGTTTATTTTCCCATGATTCTTAGTGTGTCTGAGTGGACAAAAAGCTGACCTGCATTTGACCTGTACTTATTAGTCGAGAGAGCGTTGCGTAAAATTTACAGATTACATTTAGCAGTCTCAAGTTTGTTCTTATTTAGCAGCGTTTACTCTACAACGCATGATATTGAGCGCATTTATCTTGGCAAGAATAAATTACAGTTTGATCCTTTTTATCAGATCAGAATCAGAAAAAAAGAATGTTCATCACTTACCAAAAAGTAAGACTTCGCTTCTGTGAAATGATGCAACATAAAACAATGAATAATAATAGTATTTTTGTTTGACGAGTCCTTTTTTGACCGGCGTCAACAAATACTGTGATAATTTGTGACATTCTCATTATTATGAGCGTAGAGCCTTGAGCGTATGTGCTAAGAGCCTTGTTATGTCATGTTGTGGTTTGATTTATCATTTTGGCAGGATGAACCAGATCGACCTACTCACTTTATTATTAATCTTCTGAGAGGGGTCAAGCATCATTCAGAACCTTAGTGAAAGTAGAGCCACAAAGTAAATAACACATTTGAATTTATCACAGGAAGCATTTTTCACAGAAGTAAAAAGAAATACAGGTTTGATTTGTGTTTTATGGTTTGGATTAAGTCTATGCAATTGATTGAATTTTGATCACGATTTTGATTTGTGTGTCAAACGATCTCCAAACTCATATAATCAAGTTGACATGATTTAAAGCTTAACAAAGTTTATTTTGGGATATTTTTTATATAAATAGGTGTTTTTTTGTTGTTGTTTTTTTAAGTATAGAGATTGTAGAATAGCTGGATATAGTTTATTTTGCATACATTTATGTTTTTCTGTGCCGTATTTCATTATCAAAGTATATTTTATTCATTTTATTTTTTATTCATTTATTTAGGTACATATATGTAGCCTATATTTATTTTCATGTTAAAAGTTTTGTGTAAATTATCAATAATAATGTGTTTTTTAGAGAGAAATGCTAAACATGTAGCCAGGTTGGTACCATCTAGTGCCTCCACTCAGTTGCATTTCTCTCCAGCAACAAGGTTAGGAATCGGAATACACTAGACGGTTTGCAAAATCCCCGAAAGTGCAAGTTCGGGCACCAGCCCATCAGCGAAGAGCCATACATTCTGTGATGTCAACAATTCCCGAGATCGAGGATTTAAAGATGGAACAAAGAGAATGTTTGGTGAATTCTATCAAGGGGAAAGACGTTATTGCACTTGGCCCGTTAGCGGCGCATTACGTACGTCACGACCACATAGTAGAGATTGGTTAAATTAATTCGAATTCTAATGCTGCGAGGTCAGACGGTTTCTCCAAAGTGAAACCAGCTGATGAATCAGGCTAGAATAAAGGCATTGTGTAACTGAAATATAGTATTTTGAATGATCGTGATTTCAGTATTGACCAAAATAATCATGATAATGATTTATTCCATAATCGAGCAGCTCTAAGTTTGGATACATTAAACAACTGGACTCTGACATTACATATGTGTAGCATTAGTTTGTCACCACTTATATAAATCAGGATCATATGTCATATACCAAAAATTATTGTCAAAATAAAATTATTGTCATTTCTGTTGCAAACAAATCACACCAATATTACACTCTTTTCTGATTTGTGTTTTAATGATGTTTCCTTATTACAAACAGACCTGGAGTTGTATTTTGTTTCATTTACTCATGTTTAACACACAAATCCTGCATATTTTGGTTCTTCAAGTGGTAATACAGGAAGTGCAGTGTGTTTTTAATCTTCATACACCTACATTAGAATCATTTGGATAATTTCAGACAAGGAATTGCCAGTTTCTACTGAACAAAAGAGAAAAAGACTGAATTGTTTTGTATTGTTTTGTTTTGTATTGCCGTATCTACCTGTTTACAATCAACACTAAAACATCTATTACACTTAAAACTTTCACTAATTTGCTCGTTTTTGTCTTTTCCTCGCAGCTCGACAGCGCCACCTCCCTGATCCAAGCCGCCAAGAACCTCATGAACGCCGTGGTGCTGACGGTCAAGGCGTCCTACGTGGCCTCCACCAAATACCAGAAGGTCTACGGCACGGCGGCGGTCAACTCCCCCGTGGTCTCCTGGCGCATGAAAGCCCCGGAGAAGAAACCCCTGGTGAAGAGGGAGAAACCCGAAGAATGCCAAACCCGCGTCCGGAGGGGCTCTCAAAAGAAACACATCTCCCCGGTCCAGGCGCTCAGTGAATTCAAGGCCATGGACTCCTTCTAAAAAAATAATAATAATAATGGTGATGATAACGTGAAAATTTCCCAACATGGTGGTGTGTTGGATTCTTTTTACATTGTGTTAATCCACCTCTGTTTGCTTGGCCGGAGACGCCTCGATCTGGACTACTACTGCCACTCAACAGAGGAGGCCAGCGCGTACATACACGACACAAAACACTATTTATCTTATTGCTTAATATGTGCGAGCGAAATGTCACACAGTACGTCTGAAAAAGAACAAAAAAAGTAAAAGAAAACATATCAAAAAGGAGGCGTGGGGAGTGACATCCTAAATATGTTTGTGGCAGTTACTTTTAGCTCTGATTACTGTGCTACTGACTGGTTGCTTGTATACACATTTAAAGTGAATGGACTGGACTGGTGCAGTAGTTGCTTTAATGGGAGACAGTGATGGTGTACGCTCCCGTTTTTGACTTTTCATTTGAATTTGAATGTTAACCCGTAGTACTAGGAATAACTTATCTTACCTGAAAGTGTTGGACATAGTACCCTTTCCCCCATGATTATAATGAATAATAAATGATCCACATGGTGTTTTTTATATGAAGCACACGTATGGTCAAATGTATTGTCAATTTTTACAAACCCAGTTCCAGAAATTGTGGCGAGAACAAGACTGTGGTGAGTAGAAAACCGCATAGAAATTGTTGTTTTGATTACGAGTGATTGCGAGACACGCGCTAAAGTCTTATTAAGTTTCATCAAAAAGCAGCTTTCATTTTAATTCAAAACGGAGTGTTTTTGTCACATTCAAACATCCTTTACTTATAATAGCAACAGAAAACAAAGAATTAAAACTTGTAAAATATTTCATCTGATCGTTTGCAAACCTTTTCTTGTTATTTTTTGCACTTTTGTTTACACCATCTCTGTTTTTGGAACTGGACTTGTAATTAGAATTATTTAATGGTTCCATCACTAACTTTGATGACTGAAAGATGTGTAGCATATAGATCAGACTGAGAGATATTTGACTAATTGTGGTTTTGCTCGGAGTATAGACCTCTTGCATACAGTTCCTTTTCTTCACCCTACTCTAATAAAACCTCAACTTGACCCTGAAAACTACGCGTCTTTTTTTTTTCATCCTTACCTTGACACCCTACTGCTCCATTACCAGTTTACACATGCCTTACTTTATTATTCCATATAGCTCCACATAGAGAAACCCTGCCATTGATCTAACGGATCTGACGAAATCATTAAAAGAGATTGTAATGAAAACGCCGCACATGAAAAGATTCCTGCGGAGTACAGAGAAAGTCTATTATGGCTAAGAGCTTACAAGTATCAGAATATTGATTGGGGGGTTGCAGGTTTACGCGGAGTACTTCACCATGACCTGTAGTAATTGCTACTAGGTCAGCGGCGCTATCTCTACTTGATCTCTCACCGCAAAAAGAGAAAAAAAACACAGCAGTTGAATTGTAACTACACACTCAAAGTTTGTCTTTAAAAACTTTCCTTTTGAATTCACCCATGTCTAAGCTCTGTATTGACCACTGAAGTCCTTGTCAATCTCTCTTAAGCCTTCAGAGTTGGAGAGGCCAAAGAAACAGAGGGGCATGACTACACAGCGACGCCGCCCTGGGACAAGAGTCAGACCCCAAACATCGATAGTCAGCAAGGTAAGAAAAGAAGGCTCCGAATGGTAAGTGGAACGTTTCAAACGGGAGACCGAATCTGCCGGAGAGAGTCAAGTGCAGCCTCCTTCACAGCTCAAGATCCCATTGATTTTATTCATACTAGACATTTGAGTGGTTCTGCCCAAAAGCACCCAGAACTTCTCAACTGCTTGGTTAAACACGGCTATATTAGGTTTGAACTCTATCAGATCAGAATCAACGGAATAATTCGTAGTATTTCTTAAACTTGTCTATTTTTGTTGAATATCTACGTGCTTCACCCAATGTTTAAAGTAACTGTTGTGAGCTTTAAGCCATGTTAGAATGTTGTTAACTCATCAAAAACATGCCCGCAGTTGATTTTTCTTTTGTTCACTCATGTTTGAGTAATCCTTTATTATTGCTCTATTCCACCACGTGATGTCATGTAGTGGTATTTTCCATATTAGCTGCTACCTTTAACCTTTTGATTAGTAGAGATTAACAATTCCTGGGCTAAAATTATCAAAATGGTTCTAGTGAAGGAGTATGGAGTTTAAAAACACAGTGGAGCATTTCTTGTATTACCACATGACATCACGAGGTAGCCAGGCTGACACCTTTGCTCAATTTCATTTCTCTCCAGTGACTAGGTCAGGAATTGAAATACACTAGATGGTTTGCAAGAACCCTGGAAGTTGTAGACTGTTGTAGACATGTGAAGTCATGACGTCAAACTCAAGCACCTGTCTGGGTCCATTTTGTGGTACAGCACAACAGTAAACAAAGCGGTCGAGATGGATGTTGACGAAGCCATACATTCTGTGTTGGCAACGATTCCCAAGATCAAGGATGTAAAGCCAGAACAAAAAGAATGTTTGGTGAATTTTATCAGGGTGAAAGACATTATTGCCCTTCTTCCTACAGGATTTGGCGCATTACATACGTCACAACCAAACAGTAGAAATTGGTTAAATAAAAAAAGTACCCACCTACCGTCAAGCAAACGAATCCTAATGCTGCGAGGTCAGACTTCGTGGAAACCGGCTGATGAATCAGGCTACGCACAAGGTGGAACAGAGGGTTTTCTTTTGAGAGAAGAACTAAATATGGAGGATTTGAGGGTTAAACGTGTAAATGAAACAAAACCCAACTCCAGGTATGTTTGTGATGAGGAAACAACATTATAACAGATCAGAAAATAGCCTAATATGGGCTCTTTAAAAGTGCGCTATGTATCTTTCCTCTTGGATGATACTTTCTCTGCTTGACTGGATTTTGCGGTGTGGTGTTAAACTCAGTCTTGCATTTATTAAATTACAAGTTGCTCCACAATGCCTTGGAAAATCATGTTTTTTACAGTGAGTGATAGGGATGTAACAATAACCAAAATATCATGATATCGTATCGTCAGAAGTCTCACAATAACATCGTTGTGTTTCACAATATACCGAATCTCAAGTTTCTTTGCTTAAATTCATGTTATGGTGCAGCATGAGCTAAAAGACCACGATCTTTTGCTGTTTCAGTGCAGAATGCATGAAGAAGTAAATTAAGCACTTTTCAATTATTTATATTAAAACAGTACCAAAAGCTTTTCAAGGCATTTGAAAAGGAAATTGTAGCATATTTTGGTTTTGGTTAGTCTCCACAAAATATCGCAATAAATATTGTACTATGAGATGCATATCGTGAAAATATTGTGTCGAGAAATTTGAATGTTGTTGAGTGGGTGACCTCTCCACAGATCTTTCCTGTAACTTTGACCTGGTGTAATCATAAACTTGTCTTCATGGAGATTGACAATTTGAATGCCATACTCTGAAGCATCCCAGACAAAGCATACGGCCCACCCTCCATTAGAAAAACTGCATCTATAGCACTGTGGAGGCAACTACTTCTGATTAATTTCAGACCATTTCAAAATTCCATAAGTTTGTATACGGAATTGTGCTAGACTTGGCAGATTTTGTAGACATTACCCAAAAAACTGGCCATTTTCCTGCACATTTTATACCAATTAAATTTTGAGTTGAATTACATCCCATTTAGTCAAAAGTTTTACAAATTAGCCTCTACTTAGAATTCACAGCTATGTTATCTTTATGTGTCTTCCCTTTTGTTCAGTGCAGGCAGTTAACAGCAGCCTGCTTTATTTGATTAATGCCCCATTTACCTCTCCGAGCTTCCACTGTTTCCACGGGCAACTATCAATACACGGACAGTAATGTGGAAAAATGCCTAAGCACAACCCCAATCTGCCGTGTTTAGTCTTCCTTCACCACCGCACGATTACACTGAATTAGCTTTTGACTGCTCGGTGCTTCGGTTTTCGGCGCCGCCACCCCAACCCGCTCTCCCTCTCCCTCCCTAGGGTGCTAACGCCGGCCCATCCCGTCATTAAACTACACTCCAGCCAATCAATTGATGGCTCTCCTCGACCTCCGTGCGCCTTGAATCAAATGGGAAACATCGACAGGCATAATCGTCGCAATAAGGCAGCTCACGGGACACTAGTTTAGATAATGCGGTAAGTATAGAGCGGTAATGAACGGGGGTGTTATTTAGCCGCATTGTTCTGCAAATGATTATTAAGCACAACATGCGTCGATCACCAGAGCGTCGCCGGAGTATCCCATGTTTAGGGAAGGCCAGCCCACGGGGGAGTGATTGTAACGGTGTCCAGTTAATAAGGGGATTAATTCCTGGCCTAAGCACTGTCTAAAAGTAATATAATCCCTGTGTGTAACCAACGGGCACTATCCAAATAAAGCGTGACATGGTGCCCGACAGCCTGATCTCCCCTTTGAAATAGAACAAGAATCATTAAAAAGCACAACGGCAGAAGGGGCTGCAGTGTGGAGCTCCCGTGCTTTGATTTAAGAGATCAGATATGGTGTATTAAAACGAGCTTTAATCTTTTTAAACAAAGCTTCCCTGGAATGGCTAGAGAAATTAAATGAGTTAAAAGTTGAGAAACTAGAACACAATTCACATATCAGGTATAGCAGATGTACCGTACTGTGTTATTCACCTTATTGCTGAAGTTGCTGCGGGCGCCGCCATCGTTATTCAAGTTGTATTATTTTGATGGGGTTAATAAATTCTATACGGACTACAAAGCCGCTTTAAAGCCTCTCAGAGAATCAGCGCAGTGTTGACTTGAACAATAAACGTTTTACACAAATCAGCTTTATTATATATATTTTAGCTGCAAAACTTTTTCTCAAATTCTCCAATGAAATGAAAGTGTGGTGTAGTAACAAAAATGGGTGGGACAGAATTAGATTTATATTATAATGTCAAAATAATTTGTTCTGAGCAACAATAATTAATAGTTTAATAGTCATAGTTTGTTTTTTCTCTCCTTTACTGGACTGTACGTGTTTAAATTGGGACTCAACTATCCCCTACTGAATTACTAAAGTAGGTTCATGATGAAAATAGCTATTGTTGTAGTCAAGACTGCACTAATTGAGAGCAAGACCAGTCCGAGACCACAGGGGCCCGAGACCAGGGCAAGACCAAGACCTCTGAGGATTGAGACCGAGACAAGATTGAGACTTTTAAAGATCAACACTGAGACGAGACACAGACTTTTAAAGGTCGAGATCGAGACAAGATCAATGTTTTTATAAATCTATCTCCATTTTATCACTCGTCGGGTGTCAGACCTGGAGACCGAAACAAAACTGAGTCCAAATGCCGTCAAGTCTGAGACGAGGCCAAGACCGCAAAAAACTGTCTTGAGGCTAGTCTTGAGACCAAGAGCAGCCTGAAGTACTATGACACTAATACCGTATTTTTCGGCCTGTAAGGTGCACCGGATTATAAGGCACAATATCAATAATGTTGAATTCTCTTGTCTATTTTCATACATAAGGTGCACCGCATTAAGTGAAACAAACGGACGACACTTGAGACTGATGCCTTAGCTCAGGCATCCACGATCCATTGGCAGATCGTGGCGTAATTCACCCGGCATTGCCTCCCTGCCTTGGTGAATGTGTATTATGAATATGAATGTGGGTGGATAATTTACATTTGTTTTTTATTTCCTATGAGGACTCAAATATACACTGAGGAATAATGTGTTTAATGCAGGTTTGCGCACATTTGTTTACGGTTTACAGGAAACTTGAAACCACATGGCTTATCTGCATAAACAATAAGCACTGATGCAGTCAACTTCTGTTGGACTAAAGGACACAACTCGGTGGAATATGATTGTTCTTTCTGTGACAGAGGATGTGCTGATGATGGTGAGTCTGTTCTGTGCTTCTATCGCGTTGGAGATGGTTCATGTGAAACTTTTCAGATATTATAAGTCTGCAGATCATACGCATAGGCCGTATATATGAATGATCATATATTCTCTGAAGCATTTGATTTATGTCATAAATGCCGACACAGATCTATACTCTGCCCTTTACTCCGTGAGGCTCCTGACTA